CTGGGGAGAGAGCCTCTGGAACGTGCAGCCCGTGCACTGCAGCCCCATGGCGGAGCTGAGAACTGGCGGAGATGGAAGCTGAGAACTGGCGACTGCGTAGTACAACTTTAGTCCGCGGAGTATAGCTGTGGAGCTGGAAGATGAGAAGTGGCGACTTAGCAATACAACTTTAGTACGCAGAGTAGCTGGGGAGGGGGATGATGAGAACTGATGAGTGGGTAGTAGGTGAGAACTCGCGACTGTATAGTATAACTTTAGTACGCGGAGTAGCTGGGGAGCGGGAAGATGAGAACTGGCGCGTGGGTAGTACAACTTGAGGGCGTGGAGTATCTGGGGAGCTGGGAGATGAGCACTGGCGACTTTGTAGTACAACTGTAGTACGCGGAGTACCTGGGGAGCGGGAAGCTCAGAACTGGTGACTTTGTAGTACAACTTTAGTAGGCGGAGGAATCTGTGGAGCTGGAAGCTGAGAACTGGCGACTGCGTAGTACAACTTTAGTACGCGGAATATAGCTGTGGAGCTGGAAGTGGAGAAGTGGCGACTTAGCAATACAACTTTAGTACGCAGAGTAGCTGGGGAGCACTATGTCCAACTTCGGTTGTTGCCTTCCTCGCCATGCTGCCTTGTCTCACAAAAAAGGGGTCGGCGGCACCAGGGCGGAGCCCTTACAATAAGAAGAAACTTTGTTGAAAAACACTTTTGGTGACCAAAGCCCACTGGTTGATACGTGAGCTGTCTGGCTTGGGGACATGCCCTTTCCTTTCACCTGACACATCCAATCGAGCGTCCGTCAGTCCATCACCAGGGATATCGGAACGGCACGATTCCAAAAGCCACAAGTCCCGAACACACTACTTCGTCCGCTCAAGCGTGGGTTGGAATGTGATCGGGACTTGAAATGCGTTCCAAATTAGCTCTAGACTCGGAGGGGAGCGGCCGGGAGCCCGAGCGCATTGGATCTCTTGGAAAAACAGGTCCAGTGCGTGACTCCAACGAGCCAACAAACTCCTCGAGCAGAGGCAGACGAGAAGCGGGTGTCGGTCTTCGGGGTTTTGGGCGAAACGGACAGAGTGCGGAGTGCCAATAACGCTTTGGTAGTGCTTGTATTCCAACTTTTTAGTAAGTTGCGGCTCTCAGTTGAAAGGATGGTTTTTTCAGAATGTTTTCTGGTTTCCGGATGTTTCCGGTACACTTCGGTTGCTTCTTCGCTTCACTCCTGCGGCTGGGGGCTGCGTCCCAGAAAGGCCGAAGTGCTTCGGCCCCGCGCCGGGCCTTGGAACATTTCGCCGCCAAAAAGCAAACACGAACGCCGTTCCTAGTAGTAACAAGTGCATCGCTAGTAACAAGTACCTTACTAGTAACAAGAAGCTAGTAGAAACAATAAGCTAATAGCTTCTTGTTCCTAGTAAGGCCAGCCCCGTTCGTAGCGTCCTTGCTCCTAGTAGCAATGCCCTTTGCTCCTAGTAGCTTATTTTATCTATTTTTTTCATATTAAGTTCATCGAAATTCTCTATTTCTCCGCTATCTCTTTCTAAGTCTGGCCATCTCGCCATGCCGATAAAAACACACCTCCTCGGCGAGGTTTTCGACCGTGGGGTGGATGGCGGTCTGCACTGAGCGTTGGCGCCTTGAGAGATCCACTCGGAGCAAAGTAGCTAGATTGAGCTTTCCCAGTCTGTTTGGCCTACTTTCACCTACTTCTCTCCGCATTCAGTATGTCTGTGCTACCTTTCTCTTGTTTGTATGCTGAATGAAGTCATGAAATCCACATGTCGCTTTTGCAGGGAACCTGTATGAGGCTTTCTAGGTCTCCCAACGCCTCCAGGAGCAATTCTAAAGCACCTTGCCAACCTGGGAAATTCGACTGGCAGTCCCAATTAACATGTTCTGAACCAGTGGGCACTGGACATCTCTCAAGCGATACACAACTAGGCAACTTCTAAGCACCTTATAGGCACTCCACTAATCAGCACCCCAATGCGCACCTTATGACATCTTCCTGTGCGCTCATGATTGCCCTCTCCAAATTGTCCCCTCAAAGTTGCAAACGTCTTGATTTCGGGAGTGCTTTCGTTGAAAAGTCAATATCGGTAGCCCCTGCCATCCATTCCGTTTTCCACCTGCTCCCCAAATCCCAAGGGGTCAGTTTCAAGTGCCACCTTCGGCCCAAACTGTCAGCTTCTGCAAAGCAATGTTGCTAGGATATCTTGAGCTTGTGATTCCTTCCAAAAGGCGATGCTCAACATGGACCGCATCACCTGAAGACTGATGGACAAGGAGAGGCGGTTGGAGAAACTTCGCGACGAAGGTCTCCACAGGTCTCCTGTGACCTCTTCACCACCAAATCACGAAGAAGAATTTTCAGTTGACGCTCGACACAAATCACACTTCTCACTTATTCCCATCACAACTCCGCCCTCGTGCCGTTTGTGGCGGCAGCGCGGTGTCGCATGGCTGCCCAGGTGGCTGCATCGGCACCCAAAGGCAGCGGTGCCACCCAGTGGTCCGGGACGTTGCGGTCGGGCAGTGTGGGATCGACGTAGAGGTAAGGGATGGCCTAAAGGGTCCGAAAGCAAAAGACTAAGCCTCAAAAAACGAAATCGGGAAAAAGGAGCTTCAGCGAATGGCTTCACAAAGCTTCACAATGCCAAATAATATAGAATACTGAGCGCTCTCCCTACACTATTCTTGACGGTGCAAAGGCAAAGATCGAGATGTGGACATTCTTGGAGGCGAGAAGAACCATGCCCAAACTGCCACTACTTAAAGGCGAAACCGATTCGCTCGCATCGAATTCCAACCATGGAATCTCAACTTGCAGATCCACATTAACCTCTGGTCGAGAATCCTTCCATCTCCTTGCAGGGAACATCCACAAGAATTCACAGCCTTCACTTCCAGCTTCGATGCCATGCAACATCCTTGCTGGGATGTTCACCTCAAAGTAGCAGGAACCGCACAAGTGATCGAACACATGTCAACACAAGGAACAGGCACAACAAACAAGAAGGCAAAATCCCAATGTGCAGCCGGTTCACATGTAGCCCTGGTGAGATTGGATGCTTCTTCACCCAATCCGTGTACTCATGCAGAGTCACATGGCCGTTGCCCCGCGTGAAGTGATAAATCTCTCCGTAGGGCTCAGGGTGGTAGTGAGTTGGCAGCTCTTTGAAGGGCTCCAGCCGCAACAGTCCTGAAAAACTTTTGATTGGATTGAGGATCAACATGGATCAACATGGAACAAACTACCAGCCTCTTTTCGTAGGTTGGATGTCATTAGGTTGGAGGCCATCGCTCTTAGGTTGGAGGCCATTGCTATTAGTGTGCCAAAGCATTCAACACATTTCAACACCAGGTCTTGAAGTGCTTGATTGCATCAACTAGTCTCACCAAATATCAAGTGCCACTAGTCTCGCTCCTCCGGTCAAGCCGGTGCTCTCATTCTCCATCAGGGTGAGCTCCTGCCATTCCAGCTGCTGTCTCTGCTGGAGGTGCAGATGCTGCGAACTCCAAAAATTCCATCCTGCCGTGCACTTGGCAACGTCGTCTCCCACATTTGAAAGGACCCAGCGGCATTTCAAACAAATGTGAATTGAGCTCGACGTGCGCAAATCGGTCCTTGGCTTCCAGGCACCTTGAAATTTGCCGCCGCTAGCGTCAGCGCCAGCCAGTGAAGGACCAATCCCATGGTGAGACCGGTGGGAAATCGTTTGTTGGAGCCACTCTGCCCACCAGTCGATAACAAGGCAGGCCTTTCTTGAGGTATGTTTGTCATGATGTTTTTTCCTTATCAATTTGAGCATTTGGGGCGGCATTGCTTGCTGCTTGTTTAGTGGGAACAAAATTAGTTCAGAACACTCGTAGATTCCTTGGGGTGGTTCTTGTGCCGCTCTTTCCTGACTTACATCTCGGGCTGTCTGGCGACCCATGAAAAAAGGAATGATTTGATCACGAAGAGTATTATTAGTACAATAACAAGCTACTAGTAGGTTACTAGGTGGAGGCCATGGCTACTAGTAACTAGAAGCTTAGTATTTTTTGCGAAGGAGTTGATTGAAACAACTGCCATGTCGGGTGAACAAACTGACGTCGGGTGAGCTGGTCTCCGGTCTCAGTCGTCTGGGCGGAGTCATCTTTTGGATCACACTCTGAGTGTCGGTGGGCTGTGAGCTCTGCTATAGCTCCAAAACGACTCTTGTAAAGCTATGAGCTCTGCTATAAGCTCCAAAACTCTCTTGCTTTGCATTCCTTGTTCACATGCAGAAATGCCGGCATGGTATGCGATCACATTCACTTGAAGGCCCGCTTTGCAGATTTCATCATAAACTCGCAGTGCCTGTTGCCACTGTTTCCCTTTGACACATGCACTGATCGCAGCACTGTACGTGATCAAATTAAGTAAATGGCTCTTGCAGGCTTCCTGTAACAACACAAGTGCAGATTCCCATTGGCTTGCCTTGTCACATGCACTGATTGCGGCACTGAAGGTGATGACGTTTTTCCTGCCGTTCACGTTTAGATTCCTTTCCGTATCTCCGAGCAGCAGCAGGGCCATCAGCCATTGTTTTTCGCAGGAACTTATCAATGCGTTGTAAGTGATCAAATCTCCAAGCAGGAAGTCCGCTTGAGATTGATGTAGCACATCTAGTGACCATTCCCAGGCTCGCTCACCCGGCTCACCCGCTCGACCACTTATGGCTGCATTGAAGGAGATTTGTGATCTGCGGATGTGCCTCTTAGCCATCTCATCCTGACGGATACCAAAGAGTTCGAAGATTGATGAGGGCGGAACTTGCCGAGCAACTGCTGGCTCATGCTGGCTCTGATTGCAAGAACAGACTGCAACACACAGGTTCAACATGGTTCAACAACATCAATCGAATTCAACGAACCCTGGAATCTATCGTCGATCAGCCAAGCTTCGAGCAACTGCAGGGCCAGCTTCCATTGGTCTCCTTGCTCACAGCTGCTGATAGTAGCATTGTAGGTCACCACGGTACATTGACACCGACCTGGCCCAACTGCGCTCTGAATCATGCAATCTGCTGATGCACCGGCCTTGATCTGCATCCCTGAAGAGACTCAAGGCCAGCTCCCAGGCAGAGCTCGCAGCGCTGATCGCGGCGTTGTAGCTGATGATGCTCCGTTTCAAACCGCACAGCTCCTCTCAGAATTGAGGTTTGGAATGACTCCAAAAGCGAACAACGACAGTTTTGATGTCCCCAGTCCAGTGCAGCACAAAGGTCGACACGGTCATATGTGGCCACGTAACGGTGACACTGTCGCAGGACACCAACGAGAAGGTGATCAAGTCTTAATGGCTGGAAAATGCCAGAACATGCTCGAACACTTCCATGGTTTAGCTAGTAGGGTGGAGGCCATTGCTATTGGGTTGGAGGCCATCGCTATTAGGTTGTAGGCCATCGCTAT